GGGGCGGGGATATAAACTGCGTATCACTCCTCGCACTAGCATACAATTCAGTTTAGTCTCAATCTGTACAGCCATAAATCATGCACACTCTTGCTCCCGTTTGAATTACTGCCTTTTACTTGCCCATTTGTATGAAAGAATAGAGAGAGAGAGAAAAGGAAAATTGGAATGTAGTTTCAAGATGAAAATAAAGATTTCACGTAAACTATGATTGTGACGGTCTTGAATAGGTGCATGAGTATCATTGCTCATAACACTCAGCCGTATTATCGGATGTCTCTCACCATCAGTTTTTCCAATCCTGAGGAGTTCCCATCCATGCAGTGTNTAGGGGGGGGGGGACTATTGTTCGTCTTAATGTGTCACTTTTCTGCGAATCATTCCCAGTTAGTTTGATCGGGGCCTAATTAAACTCATAACGCTTGACGTTTTTTTTCTGTTCAAAGCCGTCTTGTAATCAACTAGGTCCCGTTAGGCTCCTTGGTTGGGGAGCCCGAGATCGTTGTCACCGAAGGTTAGAGACACTGAGCGGTATGGCTGGGTGTCGCAAACAGTGGCGTGGCACTCGTGCATCTGCTCACTATTCTTGCAACCTCAGTCTATATGAATTTTTTATCTTTCACTTGCATTTGCTATCAACATTCCAATCTTCATTCTGCTCTTTTTAATCCGGATAGGCGGCCAAAAGACAGCAACCAATACCGGCGCACGCAAGTGCATGGTTAGTGGTTGTAAAAACTGAAGATGAAATTGTAATCAATTAGACGAATAAAAAATTTCGTTGTCATAATTATTCTAATTAATACTGCAGGAATTCTTTAAGAAAAATCAATTTATTTATTTTCACGTGACTGCTCTGATGCAACAAGAAGGTCCTCGGCCAAGCCACAATTTGCATGCAAACAAAGCGTTTTTACATGAAAGCAGAAGTCCAATTTTTAAGTAAAGAGATTACAGCGTCATATTGTTTGATAGATCAATAAATGTTATATTTACTTTTCTCTAGGCTTAGCTGATAGAGCATACGTTGTTCCTGTACGACTTTAGATCACTTGCATACTTTGATTTGAATCCCATCAAGGTTACTGAATTTTCTACTATTCATTGAAGTCAAATCAAAGCAAGAGTGCACTTTATTCATTTAATGTGGACAGAATTTTCAGTGAAAAGAATGTTATCACTTTTGCTTTGGCATTGCACGCTATTAAAAACGAGTTTAGAGATATGCCAAACAGTTGCTTAGACGAAAACGAAGAGGACACTGAAAACGCGTAAAAATGAAGAAAAATTCAGCCTGAAAATTTACATTCGACTGTGTAGAAGTTTGTTCAATATTCGTTTCCTCGAAACCAACAAACGTGAAAGATAAGTTACAACGGAGTTGTGATAAGCAGTGGTACGAGTGCATAGAAGTTTAAATTTATTGCGGGTGACAGAAGTGGAGATGGAGCGTGATAAGGCTGAGTGTAAAGAATGTGGTGCATCAGACCAGATAGAGGCACACAAACGCATTTTTGTGATATACTAACCAACCCATTTTTGTTTTACATCTCCAGGTCGTATTGGCACACCGCATTTCATGGCTCCCGAAATGGTTCGTCGTGAACCGTACGGGAAGGCTGTGGACGCGTGGAGTTGCGGTCTTCTGCTATTCACTCTTCTCAGTGGTTCTCTACCGTTTTACGGAACACGTGATGTGTTGTTCACTCAAATCGTGTCTGGAAGATATCATGTTAGTGTAGCTTTGACACTGTATTTTCATTTTTTATTTCACAATTATGTGATAAACAGTAAACGGTGTAAACCTATTAGTCACGAAGGACTACTATTCACTCATAGAAGCCGACTATTTAAATCTTGGGACTTGTAGTGGCAAATCACATAAGGCCCCGCTAGATTTCACAGTGGTGCTGAACCGGACAGCAGCGATTGCTGAGTGACCGTTGTTAGGTTCAAACTTCGGACCATAAAGTCCACAGCACGCCAGTGATAGCGCTTAAACCAATGTGCCATCACCGCTCTGCTGAGTCGACGCTCATATAGACCTGCTGATACTCTGGGTCATTCATCACTTGTTTCTATTGCTATTCCACTGATCTTCGTCCGCATTTCATCTTCATGCACAATCGTCGCCATGAACTCGGAAAGCACGATAGATCCGAATCCTGTTCTCGTAATTAGCGCACATCTACCGGTTCATCCGGGAGTTGTACTTTAGATCCCTCGCTTGGAAAGCGTATTGTTTACCACACTAACGACCGCCTTTTACCCGGGGTTTGAACTGTTGATTGTGCGTGAAGATGAAGTTTAGACAACTGTCGAATCCAGTCCCGAACAATTATTATCCTACTCTCCTCATGTGTAATTTAACCCCAATGTGTCATATCCCAATCGTGGTGTCACCGTTCCCCAAGAAATCTCTCTCTCTCGCCTCATTCTCAGTGCATAGTTAATAATTTGTTTTCACGCTATTTCTAGTCACAAAACACTTTGTCAATTAATCCCGTCATCATCATCATCATGTTCTCGACACTTTCGTTTCAGCTTCAACCACAAGTGTGGAATATGATATCGACCGAGGCCAGAGATTTGGTAATGCGATTGCTCGAACCCGATCCGGAACGACGGTTGACCATTGACGAGGCTCTGCATCATCCCTGGATTAGCCAGAAAGCTCGAGCGTCTAAAACACATTTGCACGAGACCGTTGAGGAGATGCGCCGATTCAATGCACGACGAAAACTGAAGGTGATGCGTACCTGTTAGCTAAAATTACTCTGAATTGTGTTTTCACTTTGGACAATCACGGATTTCACTTCTTTTATCAGTATTGTCAATACTTTGTACTTCAAATCACGAAATATGCCCATTATGTGGCTGATACCTTTTGCGTGGCTAACAAGAACACTAATCTTGTTTATGTCGAGTCAGAATTCAACGTAGCACATTCGTCAATTAAGTTCACAACTGAACCAGAGAAGAATGATTACCTTCCGTTTTTGGATATTCGTCTGATGGCTCGATCCTAAGAAAGATATATCCCTAAGCAATATGAACTGGACAGTACACAAATTTTCGTAGTTTCGTTTCACTGTATAAAGAAAAACGTAACCGCGTACGCTGTCTCATGCAGAGAGCAAGGCACATCTGTTCTGAAATTACTTTAATGGATGAATGAATGATGATCGGTATCCTGAGAAGTTTATCGACCGTAATTGGACTGAACTGAACAGAATAAGCCGACAAAAATGTCAAAAGCGAAGAAGAAAATGTTTTTTTAAAAATAAAACTTTCATTCAAAGATGATGTGAGTTTTATCCACATCAGTGAAATCCACAATTAATGTCGCTCAGCTAAGATGCGTGTTCTGTACGTCACCAAGAATCCGATGCTACAACGAATATAAGCTGCCTATGTTGACCTCATCTATGGTTGTCTACCAATTCAAGTGCGACCTATGTAGGTCGAACAACAGATCATAGAACACAATCCACGCTGGCTCACACAGGAGGAGGGGAGTGGAGCTGTGTCAAGATCGATCGTTGCTCATCTGGTAGAAGCGGGTTGACATGCGCTCGGCATTTACAATCACACCCCTTGAGAGGAATACCGTTTCGAACGTTAGCAACCGCAGAGGCGATTGGCCTCGGACTCTTAAAGCCGGAGCACGATGAAAATTGACTCAAGTTCTCAAACTCTCCCGGCCAAGAAAATTGCTTGTTCACATGACCATGACTAAACCTAGCGACTTTGGTTATGTGATCCAAACAGCACACACGAATTTGGAATTCTCTATCGGGCTCCTGGCCAAATAACATGACTCATATCCACCTTTCTGTTTGACCCTATTGACATGGCCTCATATGCGATGTGACTGATTGTAAAGGTTTGAAAAGGAATTCACCGAAACGTATGCTCGCCTACATTGTGTACTTTACACTTTATATTGTAAAGCTCGGATCAGAATTGGTGGTCAGAAGCTGAATACTGGGTCCAGTGAACAACTGAAATTCGAATTATTGTTGTTGACTACCAAATTTCCAATAGTCATGTAGTCATTTATGGTACTCATTTTTTCTCGGATGGATGAATAATATAATGAATGTAATGAATGATCATCTATATTTTTCTCACAAACAGGGAGCAATCCTGGCAGCTGTTTCAAGCACAAAATGGGCAAGCTTTTATACGGAAGGCTCGACCGGTGAGGATGTTTTGGACGAGGATGATGAAGTGACTTCTGCCGGTAGGTGACACCATCGGAATTTGTTACTATTCCAAGTATATATATATATATTCTGGTGCATTTTACAATCTCAAAATATTCTACATCTTATGCAGTGATTTCACCGTGTGAAAGCGTTTTGCGTGTGGAGGCTGTAACCGTATCTTTGGCAGTTCGACGCAATTTCTTATAAGCGGGCCCGTTGTTCTCTGAATCAAGTACAGTTGTGCATTCCTCTCATAATCCTATAGACTCCAGAATAAACCTATCCGTGACATCAGAACACAAATCGGAAGGTGAACAATTGTTTTCAATGATTCATAGTCGCTCCTGTACAGATCATATAACAGTTTGTTGATGTTGGGGACATATTTTTACACTGGATCGAAAGGTCATTCGGGACGGGGAAGGAGCAGAGGTGGGGTGAGAACTGTGTGTGTTGGGGGGGGGATCGATTATGGTTAGTACTGATGATAGTGGTGGTGGCGATCTATTTGGGGCCAGGGTAAATGGAGGGCTTGAACCGGTCGCCTATAGTCGCGTATAATTCTGGTGCGAAAAGGCGAATGCCCATAGCGTCCGCGGTGGCTAGTTTGTGTAAGCCCACATTCAGTGTTCAATTTCTATTCAATGGCAAATTTTACCGTCAAATAGACGGAGTGTCAATGTAGTAACAGAGGAGAATCAAGAAAGTTCTCAGAGTAACCGGTTATCCTGAACGGTTCATTGAGAAAAACTTCCGGGAAAGGCCATCATCTGAACAGATTCACGAGGCTTAGAAGAAGCGAGTATTCATCCGCTTACCTTTCAAAGGAGAGGCGACATCTGACCTTGTGAACAAACGTCTGACGCATGCAGTGAAGCTAACCTCGCTACGCAGCTCGATTATCGTGTGTGTTCACAGCCCCGCCCATCATCCGAACCAGCCATAAAGGTGAGGGAAGAACACTGCCCACGCTGGTTAAGACAAGGAGGCACAGGGAGCATAGGGAGCGCTATTCATGGTCGTCTATAGTGACTACAGATCATCAAAATAGCCTAGAATCCGCTTTCAGCGTAATCTATCGTATGCTCCGCCCAACTAGTGCGCTTACACAAACCAGCCACCGCCGAGGCTACAGGCCTTTACGCACCAGGACTATAGGCACAAAGGTAGCTGGTTCAAGCTCTCCATTTATCCTGGCTCCCAGATAGATCGCCACCAACACTCTAACCACGATCAACCTCCCCCCCATCACAGACACAGTTCTCACTCCACCTCTCCGCGCCCCGAATGATTTTTCGATTCAGCGTAAAAATGTATCCCCAATAGCAGCAAACCCCTGTATGGTTATGAACCATTCGAAACAATTGTTCACCTTCGGACTTGTGTTCGATTGTTGTTGCTATCTGATTCTGACACTATTCAGCTGATGACCTACCGATGTGTCCCCAAGACATTGCACATGATGCGCACCTATTGCTGGAAAGTGGATATTCTCCGTCGCTCAACCAGATTGATTGTTTGATGCGTGCTAATATGTTAAGCTGTTGCACCAGGGACTGACTACACCTCGCTGGTTTCGTGACACATTAAACGTGCCTAACAGTTACCGCTGCTGCGGTAACGGATACCACTTGGATGTGGACAGATGGGGTGGGGGATGTGGTTTAAAAAACCGCAGAATGGTCTTATTGGTTGCGATGCGAAACAAAAACTTTGCAACTGGTTGGTTTTAAACACTGAAAGACATGGCAGCAGCACTAACGTTCTTGCCGTTATGGATTATCAAGCGTGAATGCGTCCAGTAATGTGCACTGGAAATAACACTATGTACTCTGTGTGTTCACCAGCGGCTCGGTCTATTTTTCTTTCCTCAACAGGGCTTCGCTATGTACAGTGGCTCATAATTTGTATTCATTAAGTACGAGCCAGTCTGCTGCTTCACCGTATCTCATTGTAAGATGATATTCATGATGAAGTCGATGACAAAACCGTTTATACTCGACCGAACACACTGCACTGTCGGTTGCGATGCATTTCCACACTGGTTACGTTGTTTCATAATTTCTTCAAACAAATAGCTTTTCACTTTTTCAATTTGTGTTTTTTTTGAATTTCTAATTCCGAAGATACACGCAACTCATGTCAGATTTCACTGCCTCACTGGTCGGTCGTAGCAAACACTCGTGAGAGCTAATCGATCACAACAAAACAGGATCGGATGCTCATCGACGTTGTTTTTTTTTCATCTTTTCATTTTTCTTGGCCTAGTCTAAACCTCGCACGTGTCTCGTATTGTTTTTGATTGGTTCACTGCTGTTAACCGAGTAATGGATTGTCATTTCGTTCTGTTCATCTGTTTCTAGCGGTTAGTGCCGTGTTGGATAGCTTGGAAGAAATGCAATGTCTGACCGAGTGTTCGGAGAAAGACGCGGATCTTTTCCAGTCCGTGTTCGAGGATGAACACCTGCATTGTTTGTTAGAAGTAAGTGCTATTGATCGGTTGTCCTACGCCCCGGTTCACCGACACATTTTGAAAATCCAGTCAAGTTAATTATTCGGTTGTGAAAAAAAAAATAATCGACGGCTTGTCAACACCCGACCGTGTTTGACTAGAGTCGTTTTCTCATCTGACGAGGCGATGTGCGATCGGTAGAAAAAATTCACACATTTGACGGTGTTCTCTTTGTTTTTTTTTCTGTTCTCTCGTATACGGATTTATTCCAGTGGCTTATGTGACTCATAGTGTTGTAGGAAATCCAAATTTCCTCGTCGAATCATTTTGATCAGTTGCGTTTTATGTTGCCTTGTTATCATGTCGTAACCCAATCACATCGGTACTTCTACCGTATCTAGAAACGACATAAGCAGGTATACCAAAAGATTGACACAAGAAGTTATTTACCAGGTCATATTGTTTGAGTATCTATAGTTTCGCTAGTCTTCAAGTCTACTCCAGGAATAGTTTGACAAATGGACATATTTTAAATGTTTAGATATTTTTAAAGTAATTATCATATCTCGAGGTGTGATAAAGCACGTTGGTGTATCCGCCTGCCAATAAAAGGTCGTTTGAATCCCATATGGGTCCACCCGATCCTATTGTATGGTATAGGAATTCTACCGTCGACCCAGTTGGTCGCTCCGAACTCTAGCCCAGTGTATCACTAAAGAGTGCCGGAAAAAGTTTCTTTCACTACTACGAACCTTCTCTACGAATAGAGCCCCAGCAACGTTAGCGCTTACTGCTCCGTCTCACCCGAGTGCTTCACTAAATGTGGTCTTCTTCGGGCTTACTGTATCCTTTTCTTTCCAACCCTTTTATTAGATATACTCCTAAAATCAATCCTTTTCTCGTGCTAAGATAGCGACTTCGATGTGCTCCCATGCTTTAGATTGTTTGATCTGAAGTACTCAGACGACACTACTGTTAATTGATGAGCTAGGCTAGTTTCCAGTTGTTCTGGATTGTTTGAGTGCTAGCATAACTGTATTCGGTATATGTTTTGAACCTCCAGAGTTTAAAATGGGGTTACACCTCCGAGCTCATTCAGTTCCCACTCTCACTGTTATCAGCGAAACAATTTTTGCCACTTAGGATCTACACGCGATGTTTCAGACTTACCACATACGAAGTTTCTTCACCTCTACAACAATGAATAAGTATTGCTATTTGGGCAGCTGTATCTCACTCGGTAGGCGCCGCGGATGAAGTGTAGGCCCGTATACGGAAGGGTCGATTAGCATTTGCCAGCTCAGGACATCTGTGCTACCGTTGCGACAACCGGCTATCTGTGAAGGATCGAGTGTATGCTGCGGGATTTCGACCAGTTGTGCCATATAGCGCAGAAACTTGGCCATTAAAAAAACAGGATAAAGATAGACCGTCGGTGTTTGAACATCGCTATCTACGCAACATTGCACGAATCTACTGGAACAGCCGGACTAGCAATGCTGAGTCTAGGCAAAGAGTTTTGATTAACCGCCACAAGGGGTCGATTTCCATAGATTACACTGGTTGGGACATGTGTTACGCATGTCGCCAAACAGGTTTCCACGGCGCACGATGTTTGCCGAGGTAGGTAGTGGGAGAAAAACCCAGGACGGTCCAACTGAGAACTGGCACGAAGGTATGAAAATCCTAACCAGTTGTCTGGGTCACATAGGTCCCGTTAGGCTCCTGGGTGGGAACATCGGGATTATTGTAATCAATGGTTGGAAACACTGATAGATATGACAGTGTCATAAACAGTGGCGTTCGTTCATCTTCTCAATTGCTTTACAACCTTAGTCTATCGGAATTCTGCGTTTTTTATTCGACCCTATTTTCAACTTTTCTATTTTATCTTACTGCTTCACCCAAATGGGTACTCATGAGACGGCAACCAAAACCGGGGCAAGAAAGTTCATGGTTTTACAAACTGAGACTGAAATAGCAATCTCTGTTGGCGTTCATCATTGTAAGACATCTTTGACACCACCGCTTCGAATATATGTCGAATGTATGTTACAGCTGTTGGACCGATCCGACCGTATGATGCAGAGAAACGGCCTCCACGGATGCATAACAACGACAGTTTGTCTGTATGCAATCACCGCTGTTTACGTCCCATAGCTCAAGTATGGTTTGTTAACCAAACACCGTGGTTAGGAGGATCGTTTTAGAGAATCGCGTTCGTCCTCTGGATTAAGTGCTTCACGTCCACATCATATTTCACACGTGTCTGGGTCCGTACTGTGCCAAAAAACTCATGACACACAAAATCTTGAAAACCAAGAATTGGGTTCACGATTTGCTCGTGAATGGAATATTGTCAAGTTGCTCAGATCAAATCACAAATTTTTTTCGGAGATTTGCAACCGAAGTCTTCAGATAGCCAAAGCCTCAACATCAACCAAAATGGGTGCTGTGAAAACCGTAATCTATTGGGAGCCGATTCTGTTCATCGATCTTTGGACGGGATCAAACGCCCAAGGTACCCAATATGCCTCGCTATCAATCAACCTGATAAATAGTACCAAAACTAGGACGGTATAGATGTGGTTGATTGGTTTGGAATCAAGGTTCTCTGTCGACTCCCCTAAGTGAGCTAGCGGTGGTTCTTCAATCCGGTTANAGCTTCTTGTTTTGCTACTTGTGGGAAAACACCTTTTCTACCCAGAGGGAGTAATTACGGTTTCCTCGGCGGAATCTGTTTGAGGCGCTTGGTGGTTTAGGAACATTGGACGAGACGGAATGAGAGGGGCAACTATTCCTGACCCCAGACACCCACCCCTAACCAACAGAGTACAATGACTGGGGGGGGGGGCATTTGTTATGCATGTGACCAGATAGACTTCCTCGGCATGCGATGGTCATGGATGCCAGAATGGTCGAACTGACACCAAGTACAAGCACGCATGAACTTCCTGATTGGTCAATCCGAAATCTGAGTTGCTTAAGTCTTACTGGTTGGGGATTTCGGAATCAATCGAATCGATGGTTGGTTGAGTGTGTTAGACAACAAAGCTCGCTCTTCTACTCAATTTGCCCTCTAATTACTATTACTATATTACTATCTTTGTCTTAATCCTGTTTCCAGTTTTCTACTTCTTCATCATTGTTCGATTAGAATAATAACTGAAAGATGGAACTCTAAATCGCCTCATGAAAGTGCATGGTTGCCAGTTTTATACACTTAAAGTGTCAGGAAATCGGAGCTCTGCCTCAGTCAATTCATTTTACTAACGTTAGAATATCAAGTTTAAAATAATTAAACTATTAAAATCGGAACATCTCCAACGACTAAGATTTTTATCAGAAAAGCAAGGAAATCATGGTTTCCTCAATCAGATCGAAGGATATCAAATAATCGAGTGATCTGTCAAATCTCACTAAGACAACCAGAATAGATAATGCCACCCAGGCAGGTATTGTTTGGGTGATATTAATATTTCATATTTGACGTACAATTGCTTTTGTGTGTGATGTGGGATAATCGATATTGATTTGACTTGGCCATCCTTTAGAATTCACCTTCACACACATTCCTCAATTCTTCTAGTCAATCATACATTCGGAAGCATTAGACTCGAGTTTCACTGTTATTATAGCTCATTAGTATTGCATATCCACCGTCCCGTCCACGCTTTGAACTCTGGACACATGACATAGAAGAGGTGTTACAACTGTGCCAACCAGTTCATACCAGGGCTGAACCGAATCTGCCAATTCATATTTGTTCAGGTGTGGCTAGTCAGCCCGTAACCCGCATGGAAGACCCGATTTGGTGGAGGCTATCGATTTGAGTTAACAGATAGTTAACTGTGTCAACTTTGGCTGCCTTCGGGCCAACAATAACCTACGCAGTAAAGCCCAATTTCCGTTCACATTCAAGATAATTTATGTGTATACGACCAGAAGACAAAGTGCACCACACCGCCATCTCATTCTGTCTCTATGCATTTACTCATTCTGATGGAACAACGTACCCTGGACCACACAGTCAGGCAGTTGTTCCGACTAATGCGCGAGCATCATCCTGCATGACCGAACACCGGAACTATTAGGTCACTCACTAATGCAATGGTTTCTCATCCACCTGATATAAATCACATCGTGAACGTGACCAAGACATTCCGGCTCCCACTTCACTTACACCTAGTTTTCTGATACCACTGATGAAATGGATAAGATCACGTCTATTGTCCAATAGGCATAGCGTTCCCCATTCCCCTCTCTTTCAGTTGTTCCACACATTCTCAGTGTGCCAGCACACGTGGGGATTTTTCCATAGATCTGTGCCAATCCAGAATTCACGGTGAAAATGATACCTTGTCCTTGATAGACTCCAGGGACAGTGTATGCTGAATTTGACTGTGATTCTAATAACTGGGCGAATTGCAATGAACTGTCAGTGGGAATAGAACCCATTTATGACGAGCACTTTATCTCTGTATAATGTTTTTACAGGATGGTATTTCTCTCATATGAAGTCTGTCTCGAGAACATGTTTACCTATACGGAATACGTATTTGTACATTGATTGCCTGACCAATCCCTGTCAGTAGTATGTTTCCTTTTCAATCCAACCATTTGGATATCGTCGAATAATCCACTTCCGTACTTCGTCGTATACGACAATGAGCAGAGCAAATGGCATGGAAGGCCACCACCATTGATAGAGCATTGGATACAGTTGTATGGCTTTGCTTATCCCCGGCATGTAGGATAGGAATATGGCTAAAGTAATTTCGAAATATAATGCTAAAGTTAGTTTGTTGTTGTACATTCCTTGATGAAATATAGACAAACGTCGTGTCTTGCAAATGATTAGATCAGCCCATTGGGAAATGACCACCGCGGCAAAGAACGCAGTGTATGCGGCTTTTTGCAATTCCATTCGTTGACCGTAGGTCCACTCTTGTCCGTACCAGTCTTGCAAATCGTTCACAGCTCGCGATGTCCAGTTTTTCCGAATCCCGAAAATCATGAGCGGTGTGAACCCGTTCTCGGCCAGTACGGCTAAAGCGCCGAAAAATCCCGCTGCCGCTTGAATCATTCCGATCTGTAGAAAAGCCATTGAGAGCATTCGGGCATTGACCAATCGATCCCCTTTCGGATCACGTGGTTTTCTTTGCATAATATCACTCTCGGGATTCTCGTAAGCCATTGAGATCGCAGGGAACATATCTGTTCCAAGGTCAATGCATAAGATGGTCGCGGTTCCCAAAACCAGTGGTATATTAAGCAACATAAAAAACACAAACGGTAACAGTTCCGGAATTTTGGATGTCAATGTGTAAGCGATCGATTTTTTCAGATTGTCAAAAATAATCCGACCTTCTTCCACTCCGCGAACTATGGTGGAGAAATTGTCATCCAGCAAAATCATGTCCGCCACTTGTTTACTCACATCACTCCCGGAAATGCCCATGGCCACCCCGATATCGGCTTTCTTCAAGGCTGGACTATCATTGACACCATCTCCGGTCACGGCTACAAATCTACCCTGCCGTTGAAAACCTTCCACTATGAAAAGTTTCTGTTGTGGACTAGTTCGAGCAAATACAAACTCACTATGCTGTCTCAATAGTTGATCCAATTGATGGATATTCATTTCTCGTAAGTCACCTCCGTGTATCACACATGCATTCGCCTCTCGTGGATCAATATCGGCCACTGCTACCCCACGTTCCTCAGCTAAATCTTCCACGGTTTTACTGTCCGGGGACAGAATCCCAACCGATTTGGCAATAGCTTTTGCTGTGATCGGATGATCTCCGGTGACCATCACTACCAAGATGCCTGCTTTTCGACATTTGGTCACAGCTTCCGGCACCGATACGCGTGGTGGATCGATCAATGAGACCAAGCCAATAAACCTTAGTCCTTCGAGCGGAAAATTCATTTCTTCTGAATCAAAAGGATAATCCAAATCATATTTGCTAGCAGGCAACCGGTAATCACAAAATCCCAAAACCCGTTCACCCATTTGTCCCAGAGTTAAGTAGGCCTCATCGAATGCCTTGCGTTGTGTCTCATCTAATGGCAATTCTTGACCGTTGACTAGTATGGTCGAGCATCGTTCCATCACGCGTTCCGGGGCACCTTTCATCACGAGGAGAAAATTCGAGTTTTCCGTCTGATCCGTGTGAACGGAAACTTGAAACTTCAGGGAGGAGTTGAACGGGATTTCGACCACTTTGGGATGTAAATCTCGAAAACGCATTGTAGCACCCACAGTGGCCTCAAAATATTTCAGTATTCCTGCCTCCGATGCATCTCCGATACACTCGCGTCGAAGAATCGGTTCGTTTTGTGATTTTTTACGAAACACAGCACGATTGCACAACATAGCCACCCGACTGAGTGCAATCCACGTATCCTTGTACTCCTCGCTCTGTAATTCTTCCTCGTCGTCTGCTTCAATAATCGTATGATTTATCCAAATATGTGCGACTGTCATCCGATTTTGTGTCAACGTGCCGGTCTTATCCGAACAAATTGCACTGGTCGAACCCAAGGTTTCCACCGCTTCCAGATTTCGTACCAGACAATTTTTCGCTGCCATACGACGCGCGGTTAGAGCCAATGCCACAGTGACCGTAGGCAATAGTCCCTCGGGTACCATAGCCACAATAATGCCCAAAAGAAATAGAGTACCCTCAATCCATGAGTAACCCACGTAGAACGCGGCTGAAGTACATGAAACCCCAATAATCACAGACACAATAGTGATGATGCGTATAAAATGGGCCAGTTCCCGACCGAGTGGTGTTTGCTGATTTTCTATGGTTGTTGTGAGTTCAGCAATTCGTCCCATCACTGTTTGATTACCTGTCCGTATTACAATTCCCCTACCGGTCCCTTCAACTGCGTTGGTTGAGAAAAATATTAGATTCTTTGTCTCCAGTGGGTTCGCATCTGTACAGTTCGGTGCTCGAGTCTGAGGCTCCGATTCACCCGTCAATGATGAATTGTC